AAAGAGAAGGAAAAGGAGGAAAAGTGTTTATTGAGTTGCTGGTGCTGCCCGCCGGCTCCCTGCAAGGAGGGGAAGGAAGGGCACGGCCAGCCAGGAGCCACCTGCAGAGGGGAGAAGCCAGGCATGGCGGGGGCTACGGAAGGGAGTGGGGCGGCTTCCTTCCCCCTGCCCCGGCCATCACCGCTTTCCCACCGCTGCCAGGCCGGGAAAGCGCAGCTGCGGCATGCACCAAGCGGCATCGGCATCCCCTTGAGATGCACACGGCGGAGGGACCCGGCCCTTAAACAGTTTTAGCTGCTCCCGCTCAGCAAAGCTGTTTAAAGCCCAGAGGGGCTGAGCGCAGGCAGGCGACCCCCAGGGTGTCCCTTGGGTGCTGAGGGGATGGAGAAGGGAAAAAAAAAAAAGCCACGGCACTGTGCAATGGGCGATGCAGGCGGTGACGGGCAGCACGCAGGCACGGCAGCCGAAAAAGACACCGAGGCCCAGCTCAATGCAATAAATAAAACTTTTATTCAAACAATAACTCAGTACAGGGCACATTTCTCTCTGGCTTTTAAAAAAGGGTTTTCAGCACTTTACAGTCTCCATACAGGCTTTGCTAGGCTGGGTTGGGGTTTTTTTTTGTTTTTTTTTTGTTTTTTCCCCCTCTACATTCAGTCACTCAGTGTGAAATATCCTGGGTTAAAAATCTTTAGCAAAATCAGGACATCGATGCAGGAGGGTCTTGTTACAATATGCCCATAGGCCAGTGTATAAAACAAAAACTCGTCCGTGTGTGTGTCTGTATTGCCAGCAATGTCCTAGTAAACAGGCAATGTACGAGGTTTTAAAAATCACATCAGAAAAAGAAAGCGTGTACAGCTCTGCAGTGGAGACGGCCACGGGCACTGGAAGGGCTACGGCCAGGCTCGGCTGCGGGAACGGGACCCCAAGCACCGACCCAGCGCCGGGGTGGGAGACCCCTGGGCGGTGCCGAGCCCCCGGCACAGCAGAAGGGCTGCCTCGCTCAAGCCCGGTTTAGGGATGCGAGCGCGTCCTCGGACGGCTCCGCACCAGCCCTCAGCGCTAACATGAGGTAACAATACCTTGCTACAAAAAATATATATATATATATTTATAAAACAACCAGGAGTAACCCTTCCAGGGGGGCTGCCCGCTGCGCCCCATGGCTGGCGAGACCCCAGCCGAGAAGCAGCCCTTTCCCCGGGACCAGAGGTGCGCGCC